GCGGGGCTTCGTCATGTGCCCCGCCCCCCGTACCTCACCTGGGGGAACTGCGATCCCCCCCGAAATGACCTCTGATCCTCTCAAAAGAAATCACGTAAACTCCGGAGAACGACCAAACCCGTTCTGCATGCTCAGGGGGGTGGGTCGGGTGGGACTCATTTCCTCTGGGAAAGCACATTCAACCAAACTGTGCAGCGGGCTGCTCCATCTGAGGGCCTTCAAAGCTCTTGGGCCTGCCCAAAGGACCTCTTCAGATCCTGGCTGCACCAGTCAGTGCATTTGCACCACGTGTTTGGTGCTTCTCAACTACACGGAGGGAGGCAGAGCCAAGAGGCGGTGAGGAGGAGGAGGGGGTGAAAGGCCACAGCGTTCATCAGGCGGTTGGTCTACTGAACAAATCTATCCATCGTGCTTTCCCTTCAGTTTGGCCAACAGGGAATGCAGCTTTGCTACGGACCCCTAGTCCTCTGGCAGACTTCTTAAGAGAGGAAAACAGTTCTGCTCTTCTGCAGTTCTAAAGAGAGGCTGGCTTCAACCCCCGCCCCTCCTGCGCCACCCCGTGCTTACACTCTGCCTGGGCGATGATGGACACGGAGGCCAGGCTCCCTTCCCCACTGTCTTCCTTGGCCGTTCCCTTGGCGATCACGTCACTCAGGATCTTCCATGGCCCTGGCAGCACCTCCTTCTCTGGACTGTCGACTTTGCAGACGCTGCTCTTCTTCTCGACCACCGTCTCCTGAGGCCCCTTGGCCATGGCCAGCTCCTTCGGGTGCCCAGCGGTTGGGACTGGAGCACTTTGGCAGGCGATCCCCATCACTGCCATCTCCTGACTTCACAGAGGCACTGAAAGACACACAGGAAACGTCAGAACGGGGGGAGAAATAGTGGTCAAGTCTGTAAGAAGACAAACTAGGGACACCACTTTAAAAGCAACCTCAGCAACTCCACTGAAAATGGGAAATGTAATTATCAAAACGTTAAAGGACATTGAAATCAGACAAAAGAGGAAAAACTACAAGGATCTAATTTCTTTTCTTCAAACAAATGGGATATCGTACAGATGGGCGGTTCCGGAAGGTGTCATCTTTAAAATCAACGATAGAAGATAGACTCCACTTTTAAAGCTACAGAATTTTTGAGACGACAGCTGGGGGAAGAGGAAGAGTCCAAAGAGGAAGAAACGAAGTCTAGTGACTCTGTTACCTTGGGAACGGAAGAGGACTCTGCGGCAGAAAAAGGTCCTGCCGGAGTGGTATACGATTTCAGAGACAGAAAGCCAAAGTAAAGGCAGAAGGACTTGGAAAATGGCCTTTTGAAGCGAAGAATAAGAAGATGATCAGAGATCTCTCTCATAACAACTAACAAAATAACATATAAATAGCGAACTGTTATAAGCAAGAACTCTACAAGTATTTTGTGACATTAACTCTAATAGTACTAACATTTTAACTAACAGTGAAAAGATCTCCTCCTCTTGGGGTTTTAGATTAGTGTGGTTTGCTTTCCTTTCTCCTTAGATGTAGTCCCTTCCCTATTATTTCTCTGTAGTTTTTCTAGTTTTGCAAAATAAAATATATCCCTCCAGGGATTAAAAAACAAAACAAAACGTCAGAACGGGGGCTTCTGCTCGGGATCCTTCCAGTCAAAAGGAACCTGGACAACCAGCGTGGGGTAGTGCTGAGAGTGTAATGCTCTATTATTTCCATGTTGGGCAAGGTCTCCCTGGCTCTAACCAGCACCCTTATAGGTTGGGACAATGTTACAGGACCAAAACATGCCTCACAGCAGGGGTGTCGACCTCATGTTACCTTGTTGGGCCGGGCCATGTGTGCCATAAAACGTAATGCCAGGTACAAGATATATAAACTTTATAAAGGACACAAAGACTTTTGTTTTACTTAAAATAAAAACATGCTTAAGACATTAGCCCTCTTGCAATATTTTATTTACCAGTGTCTGATAACTGACACCTCTTGCTCCAAATTATTGCATCAAAATGCCTGTGCTGTAGCGCTCTTGAGTATGCTGTTCAGGTGTGCATCTGTAAGCTGCAAACCTACGATGACGCAGCAGCAGCAGAACTGGAAGAAGACGCAGAAGGCAGCCAGTTCCACTGCGGGCCGGATAGAAGCCCTCCAGGGGCCCGATCCAGCCCCCGGGCCACGTTTGGCATCCCTGCCTCAGAGTATCTAACCTGCTGAGTCAGTCCTGGTCTATGAAATAGACTCAGCAAGTTAGGTACTCTGAGGCATGTTTTGGTCCTTGCCTAACACTGAAATAACAGAAAAGCATCACCTTGTAAGGAACTGAAAAGGGATTCTCAGCAGTGGTTCTTTGTTGCTGAGAAAGGACCAGAGGTCTGAAACACTGAAAAATTACCTGGGGAAAGTGTTGGGACTTTCTATATAAAATTCTGTAGAGTTACTCTTTGGCCTCTGTGTTTTCCTATGATGGACTGTATGGGTATATTGACTTCATATAACAGACATATCACACTTTAAATGAAGTCTCCTTTATGAATATGTTGCGGGAAATATGGCACACAGTTGTTTTTCTAGCTTTATGTCACTTTTTACTGTGCACTGTACCTTTGTTGTTGTCTACAATAAGGGGGACCAAATCTCCACATTGCTCGAAAGTTTTCTGGGCTGCCCCGGGCCAGTCACTCTCACTCAGCCCGGCCTACCTCACAGGTTTGTTGCAAATATAAAACGGGGAAGAACAAACCGTGGGCTCTGAGCCTCGGGAAGGAAGGTTGGGATAAAAAAGGTACTAGATAAGATCACTATTCACAACTCCCTGGGGGCCGATGACCAGCACAGCTGACTGAAGCACCAAACACCTCAATTTTATTATTTAGAACGGGGATCCCCAATGTGTTTTTAGAAGGGGGGCGGGGGGGGCTTCTGAGCACTGGAGCACAGATTGGCTCTGCAGATTTTTAAAAAATGTTGCTCTGGCAACAGTAGCCACCACCAGTGCTCCCTCTAAGCTGAGTTACTGTGAGCCAGCTCACAGTTTTTTAGCCTCCGGATCACACATTTTTGTCTTAGCTCGAGAAGGATGGCTCCAGAACAAACTCATTTCAGAACATAAGAGAAGCCAATGTTAGATCAGGCCAATGGCCTATCTAGTCCAATACTCTGTCACACAGTGGCCAAAAATACCAGATGCCATCCGGAGGTCCAGCAGTGGGGCCAGGACACTAGGACCCCTCCCACTGTTGCCCCCCCCAAGCACTTGCCCCAGACTGAGAGTTCCTATCTATACCTTGTGGCTAATAGCCGCTGATAGACTTCTCCTCCATATAAGAACATAACATAAGAGAACATAAGAGAAGCCAATATTGGATCAGGCCAGTGGCCCATCCAGTCCAACACTCTGTTACACAGTGGCCAAAAATACCAGGTGCCATCAGGAGGTCCAGCAGTGGGGCCAGGACACTAGAAGCCCTCCCACTGTTGACCCCCCCAAGCACCAAGATGACAGAGCATCACTTGCCCCAGAGTCCCTATCTATACCTTGTGGCTAATAGCCACTGATGGACCTCTGCTCCATATGCTTATCTAATTCCCTTTTCATTGCTTCTTGGCCTTTTGGTTAAGATCAGCGTAAACATTCTCTAAATAAGTCTTATCTAATTCCCTTTTGAAGCCGCCCATGCTTGTAGCCGCCGCCACCTCCTGTGGCAGTGAATTCCATGTGTTAATCACTCTTTGGGTGGAGAAGTACTTCCTTTTATCCGTTCTAACCCGACCGCTCAGCAATTTCATTGAGTGCCCACGAGTTCTTGTATTGTGAGAAAGGGAGAAAAGTACCTCTTTCTCTACCTGCTCTATCCCATGCATAATCTTATAAACCTCAATTATGTCACCCCTCAGTTGTCATTTCTCCAAGCTAAAGAGCCCTAAGCGCTTTAACCTTTCCTCATAGGGAAAGTGTTCTAACCCTTTTATCATTCAAGTTGCCCTTTTCTGCACTTTTTCCAAAGCTATAATATCCTTTTTAAGGTGTGGTGACCAGAACTGCACACAGTATTCCAAATGAGGTCGCACCATTGATTTATATAGGGGCATTATGATATTGGCTGATCTGTTTTCAATACCCTTCCTAATAATCCCCAGCATATGTCAGACCCCACAGCAGGCAATGAAGTACACACTTGCAGGAAGGTTTTACTTTATTGAAGCCATGAAGTACTTAGAACAGATTCTCTGTTCAGAATAACACGAGGTGCGTTGCAAGGTAGGATAAAGTAGTTTCATAATTACACTAGCCAATAGATATGGTTCGCGTGCGTGCGCAGGATGCCCATCGCGCACCCAAAACCCTGAGAAGCAACGGTTCTATTAAGTTAAACAATTATTCTATTCCCACACTACTGCTCATTTAAGACTAAGCAAAGCCGCCTGCATTACACCACCTGTGGCCTTGGCCAGATAACGGTACATCAAAGCGGTACTAGCGTCCATGGGAGGGAATGCAGAGTAATTAAAAGATGAGCGCATGGGAGGCAGGGTAGACATGCGCATAAGAGGTTACCTACATAGGAGAGACGGAGGCGGGGGGTTCAATCAATAATGTATATACAGGAAACAACCTTTGGCAGCTTGCTGACAGGATAGCATTGGCCTTTTTTATTGCAGTCACACACTGTCTCGACATTTTCAGTGAGTTATCTACTACAACTCCAAGATCTCTCTCTTGATCAGTGTCTGCCAGTTCAGACCCCCTCAATGTGTATTTATATTTAGGATTTTTGACTCCAATGTGCATCACCTTGCACTTGGCCACATTGAATCCCATTTGCCACGTTGACGCCCACTCGCCCATCCTTGACAGATCCCTTTGGAGTGCCTCACAATCCTCACTGGTTTTCACCACCCTGAACAACTTCGTATCATCCGCAAATTTAGCCACTTCACTGCTTACTCCCAACTCCAAATCATTAATGAACAAGTTAAAAAGCAGTGGACCAAGTACTAATCCCTGCTGTACCCCACTGCTTACCACCCTCCACTGAGAGAATTGCCCATTTATACTCACTCTCTGTTTTCTATTAATTAGCCAGTTTTTGATCCATAAAAGGACTTGTCCTTTTATCCCATGATTTTTGAGCTTGCTTAGGAGCCTTTGATGAGGAACTTTATCAAAAGCTTTCTGGAAGTCAAGGTAAATAATATCTATTGGATCCCCCTTGTCCACATGTTTGTTCACCCCCTCAAAGAACACTAATAGGTTAGTGAGACAAGATCTTCCCTTACAGAAACCGTGCTGAGTCTGCCTCAATAGGTTTTGTTCATCTATGTGCCTACTAATTCTTTCCTTAATAATGGTTTCCACCAATTTACCCGGTATCGACGTCAGACTGACTGGCCTGTAATTTCCTGGATCTCCTCTGGAACCCTTTTAAAAGATGGGAGTGACATTAGCTACCTTCTAGTCCTCAGGAGTGGAGGCAGATTTTAAGGAAAGATTACATATTTTTGTCAGGAGATCCACACGTTCACAGTTGAGTTCTTTCAGAACTCTCGGATGTATGCCATCTGGGCCTGGTGATTTATCAGTTTTTAAATTGTCTATCAGTTTTAGGACCTCCTCTCTCGTCACTTCAATCCGACTCAGGTCTTTCAACACCCCTCCTGAAATCAGCGGTTCTGGAGTGGGCAAGCACTTCTCATCTTCCACAGTGAAGACAGAGGCAAAAAATGCATTTAGGTTCTCAGCCATTTCCCTATCATCCTTCAGTACTCCTAATAACCCTTCCTAATAATCCCCAGGATAGCATTGGCCTTTTTTATTGCAGTCGCACACTGTCTTGACATTTTCATTGAGTTATCTAC